TGCAGAGACTCTAATTTTAAGATTCTGTTCCTGTGGAACCACTCTTGGTACTAAAATCTGTATCAGCTAGGGTTGTTCTGAAAAAAACAGGACCATTAGAATACAGGAAACTTTTCACTCACACACACATACACACACACACACACACACACTCATGCATGTATAGCTGTTTAAAAATGAATATATACTAATACGTGACCATACACATATGAACATAGATAAAGATTTATGTATAGAGAGATATTTATTTTAAGGAGTTGCTTTATGTAGATTAGGGGGATGGCAAGCCTGAAAACTATAGGGTAGAATGGCAGGGTGGAAGCTGTCATTTGAGCAAAAATGTTGGCAGCTTGAGGCAGGATTTCTTTTCTCTAGGACAATGTGTTTGTACACTAACTCATTGCATGAGACCCACTCACTCTATGAAGTCCTCTTCACCTCAAAATCAGCTAATTGTGGCTGAATCAACTTACAAAGTACTGTCACACCAATACTTAGATGAGTGTTTGAGCCTAAAATGACTCATAGTAAAACCATCAAAATCGTGGTATATTGAAATTCACAGGTCAGCCAAGACTACATAGCAAGATGTTGTCTCACAAAAGCAAAATGAATTTGCATCTTCAATTTTGTAAGGGATAGTTAAATTATTTTCCAGAAAGAATATATTATTTGACATTAGTCAGTAAGTCCGAAGAACTCAGGTTCTCTGCACTGTTGCCAATATTTGGTGTCGGCACTGTTTCTCATTCGAGCCCTTATCACACTGCACATGTAGTATCTCAACATAGCTCTGATCTGCATGTCTAAGGCAGCGTCTTACTACGCAGCCCTGCGTGCCTTGGACCTTGTCTTGTGACCAGCCTTGTCTTGAATCCACAGAGAGCTGCCTGCTCCAGCTTCCAGTGTGCTGGATCAAAGCTGCGAGCTTAGAGCATCCCATGTGCTCGTTTGCTGGCTGTGCAACCTTCCCATAAAGTACCCATTGATATGGTGTGCTGTTATTCAAGGTCGTTTTTTAAATTGGAGTTTGAAGCATCCTTTATATAGCTTTGCCTTTGTGAGGTTTACAAATAATTTATCACAGTGTGGAGCTTAGTTTTTCTATTATTAGCAGAATCTTTCACAGAGCATACACTTCAGTTTTGTTTCCTCTCTCAGTGTTTGGGGCAGGCAGTGGTCCACAGAGTGTGTTCCAGGACAGCCAGGGCTGTTACACAGAAACCCTGTCTGGAAAACTATCAGTGTTTGTTTAGATGGATCATGCTTCGCCTACCAAACTTTGGCCGAATGAGTAACTCATCAATGGCTTCATCACTTAACAACAATGACTTCCTCTGGTTCGTCATCCCTACAGTACCTTTGGCTCCTCTCCCTGTCTGTGACTGAATGCTTAGGGGCTAAGTTTTAGGCAGGCAACCACATATGTAAGTTCTTAAGTACCACCACTAGGTCATGTCTGTAATCTGGCATTCACAGCCTTACCTCCTACTGTCTGGTGTTTCCATTCCTTTTTTTTTCGAGACAGGGTTTTTCTGTGTAGTTTTGGTGCCTGTCCTGGATCTCACTCTGTAGACCAGGCTGGCTTCAAACTCACAGAGATCCACCTGGCACTGCCTCCCGAATGCTGGGATTAAAGGCGTGTGCCACCACCACCCAGCTGGTGTTTCCAAATCTGCATCCTCTTCTGCAATGTGTCCTGAGCCTTAGAGGAGGTGATACGTGTTTTCTATTTAAGGCTGAGCATTCAACAGTCACTAAATCAAAACACTCAAAAACATCCTCCAATTAGTTCTGTTGTTTTTAGTTTCTTTTATCTTTCCAAACTCTGTTTGATTTTGTTTGATTTCTTAGTTAATCTAAAAAAAATACCCACTCCTGTATGGGCCAATTAAAAAGCAGTTTTTTTTAACTGGAAAACAGGTTAATTAAAAAAATATTGTGTATAATAACTGATGCATATGAGATGTACAAATTGTTACTTTACTATAGAATAAGCAAAACTACTTTGAAGACAAAGTTGTGGGTTTTTTTTTTTTTTTTTCGATACAGGGTTTCTCCATGTTGTTTTGGTGCCTGTCCTGGACCTCACACTGCAGACCAGGCTGGCCTCAAACTCACAGAGATCCGCCTGCTTCTGCCTCCCAAGTGCTAGAACTAAAGGCGTGCGCCACCGCCACCCCCCCCCAACCGAAGACAAAGTTTTGATGCCAGTGGGAAAATGTCTTTTTATTATTTTTCCTGAAGGAACTTTTTGTAGTTTTACATTTTATATTTCTATCTATGGCCCATTTAGTTAATTTTATTGTGTAAGGTATAAGATTTATGTTGGTTTTTATTTTTGTTTATTTTTGCCAATAGATTTCTTGTTGATCCAGCCATGATGGGTTAAAAAGGCCTTTGGGTCTTTTTTGTTTTTAAGTTCAGATATTCATGTGGGGGTCTGTTTCTGGGTTTACTTTTCTGGTATGTTTTCTAAAACATGTGATGACCAAAAGAAGTATTAAAACCACAGCTGGTATCCAGGGCAGTTAGATTGAAAAGCACAGAGCATAATGGATGTAAGTGGCGGTAAAGTTGCACACTTGGTGAGATTAAAATGCTGCTTTAAGTAGTAGCCATGACAACTCATTGTTAGACTTCACCATTGTCTCTCTCTTAGGCAGTGCCATGCTGCCTTAATCTCAGTAGCTACTAAACAGAACTTAGTATGGGCAGATAAAACATTGCTCCCTCTCTAGCCTTCGGCTTCCGGTTTATTGTCTCTTTCCTAGGGCCTGTGCCTTTCCATTTAAATGTTAGAATAAACTTGCTTTGTTGTGGGAGATGATTGACGTGACATTAGATCCACTGTGAATACGGGCAGGCCGATGTGAGTAGGTGGAAAGAACTGCCCCCTGCTACTGGACTAGATACATTTTCTGCTGCTCTTGCCCTTAAACATTAGACTCAAGGTTCTTCCTGCTTTGAACTCTGAAATTAGCACCAGTGACCCTTTGGGGGACTCTGGCAGTTCTTGAACTAGAGACATCATTGTCAGGCTTTCTCATTCTCAGGCCTCATTCCCAAAGTCGCTGATTCTCCAGCTTGTAGCCTTCCATCAGAGACCTTTTCGGTGTGTGTGTGTGTGGTGTGTGTGTGTGTGTGTGTGTGTGTGTGTGTGTGTGTGTGTCATTGGTTTTGTTTCTCTGGTGAACGTTTGTTGTTGTGTTGAAAATAGATTTTCCCTTCTGGTGAATCTTTTTGTTGTTCTTTTATTTTTGTTGTTTTGTTTTTTGAGACAGCAGTTTCTCTGTGTAAGAGTCCTGGAACTCACTCTGTAGACCAGGCTGGCCTTGAACTCACAGAGATCCACCTGGCTCTGCCTCCTGAGTGCTGGGATTAAACCTGTGCACCACCACTGAATGGCTTTTTTCTGTTTTTGGGGGGTTTGTTTTGTATTTTTTTTTTTTTTTTGGTTTTTGACACAAGGTTTCTTTGTGTAGCCCTGGCTGTCCTGAAACTTGCTCTGGAGACCAGGTTGGCCTCGAACTCAGAGATCCCAAAGCACTGGGATTAAAGGTGTGTACCACCACTATCCAGCTAGGTTATTTTGTATGTGATTTTCTGCTTGTACCTTAGACATTTGAGTTATTGTGTAGAAAGACACCAGGTCATAACTATACTTTTATTTTAGGAGGCTTTTTTTATTTTAGGTTGGATGTGCAGGTACTGGCCTACTTTTTGAACTATGAGTTTGATGCCAGGGTAAAGCTCAGCAATTTTGTGGGACTATGCTGTAATGCTTGTTTATCACACGTTTTTTGCTATTGGCGACCATTGAAGAGGTGAAAGATGTATAGGCCTCGCTACCTTACAGCTACAGGGAGCAGAAAGGATTGGGTGACTTTTGTTAAGAACAATGTTTGTAGCTTTGGGAGCTTCTAGAGGTCTTGGTTATGGTGGTGGACATTTTGCAAGCCTGGCCTCTGTAACCTGATTCATTGTGCTGTTCTTCCAAGTGAGATGGTGACGGTGATTGAGGAAGTCAATCTTGGGCCCCAAGCTGAAAATGGTTCTTGGGCCAGGCAGTTCACTGTGGTGAGATCTGCTTTTCCTGTGCTCTCAGTCACAAGGTGTTTCTGTACAGGAAAGGAAGTCTTGGACCTGGAGGAAAGGGTCTTTCCTATGCAGTGGAAGGATATTTTGTTACCGTCTTTATGTAGCTTGTTTAGTCCTGCTGAGTAGAGACTGGGCCCAGGGGAATAATATTATTTCTGCAATCATCTATTTCAGTGGTTTGCAACCTGTGGCTTACAACCCCTTTGGGGGGTGCCTTTCACAGGGGTCACCTAACACCATCAAAAAACACAGACATTTACATTACAATTTATAACAACAGTAGCAAAGTTACAGTTATGAAGCAGTAACAAAAATGTTATGGTTGGGGTCACCACAACATGAGGAAGTGTTTTAAAGGGTCACAGCGTTAGGAAGGTTGAGAACCAGTGCTCTATGGGCTGTCAAGAATTAGGGATGCGATTCTTATTAGGAGTTTTGTCACTTTCTGAACTATCTGCCTGCTGCGATCTTGTCTTTCCTCCTAAGGGAATGATGGGAAACAGTGGGATGGCAGAGGCTACAGGTGACAGGGAAATGTCCACAGACTTCCCCATTGCCTTTCCCTTCCCGAGTGTTGCTCTTACAAAATCCCTTTCTGCCATTTACAAAGGGTTCTTTTTCTCTCACCCACAAGTTTCCTCTGCCTTAATTTGTCTTATCCACACCCCACGTGTGGGCTTGCTACCCTTCTGCCCCAGCAGCATGCTGTAAGTACCCTTGTTTTCCCATTTCATCCCATCCTCCAATTCTTGTAGCTTCTCTTGCAGTTACTTGAGTGCTCAGTGAATGTACCTTTGTCTACCTTTCACAGGGAGTGGACGTCAAGATCCTGGTCACAGAAGATTAGAGGACATATTGATTTTGTTCAGGAACAAAGATTGTGCTGTTTATTGCCAGGATCTTGTACCATACACACTTATTATCCTGAGCTTCTACATGGAGCATCCTTCATTCAATGGCCCCTCTTCACTACAATCAGTTCAGTGTGGCTGCGTGTCAAATAGAAGAGTAGTCTCAGAGAGTCAAACTCCAGCTCCAGCTCCCAGAGCTTAGAGAAGGTAGATGAAACTTAGCACACTTCCTAAGGCAGGAAAAACAGAAATCAATGCACATCCCCCCATTCTCTCACTCCTAAGGAATGTACCTAATCCAAGGCACTTGTTTTTCTGAATTCTTTCATACTTTCTGCTTTTTCTTAGATGAAAACAGTGAACAATTTAAAGATGCTGATCAGCATTCCAGCTTATCTGCCTTCACTTAACTTAAAATATCAGAAAAAAGGGACAGCCCTCTCAGTGATTGCTAAATGTGGAAAGAATTTTGGCATGGTGCTGGACTTATGTTTAACGCTGATTTGTAGAAATATTGCATTTTATTTTCAATCTTTTTAGCATAACATATCAAAAAGAAATGTTGATGCCATTTTTTTCTTGGAACCCAAAATGTGTTGGACAAGTGTAGGATATAATTCTTGATTTCTGTTTCTGACAAAGGAGTACGGTTCCTGAGCTGTGCAGGGAGATACAAGATGATGTAAATGCACTATCAGGCAGGCTATGCACAACCCCATCTCCCGAGTGTGTTGCATGTCAATGCTTCTGCTTTAATTGCAGAGTACACAGTCTATATAGCTATATGAGGTAACCCCAGAAGAGAGGCTTAGAAAGGAGAGCGAGTACTGGGACAGAAAACATGAGAGATCGAGAATCTCAGAGAATTTTTAGTGGCCACACATTTTTAGTGATAACTCTACCTGGGGGACCTGCTATCAGCACCTGGCCAATAGAACTAGACAATTGGAAGTAAGAAATGGTACCCTATTGTTAGGGAAGGATCAGTTTGGAGGTGATGGGTGTCCCGAGTTTCCTTCTTTGTAACATGGATGATTTTCAGCTGAAGATCTCAGAAAGGGATTTCCTGGATGTATCAAGAGGACTGGCCAATGAGACAAAGCCTGGGACTCAGAAGACCTGAGGCTCATAATCCTTTAAGCCAAAACAGCCACCACAGATACCAATATCAGATGTTGGTGTGTGCCATGGCCAAGGATAATCTGCTTTGTCTATCTAAAATTCAGTGGGAAAAGGCAAACATCGGAAGATGTTGTGACAAGGCTGCAGGCATGTTATCAATGCTATACTTATCGGTAGTTAGATAATTTGAGTAGGGGAGGAGGAGGGAAAAGGATGAGAAGAGGAGGGGAGAAGAGGTACTGATTGGGTAGATTAACAATAGGAGACAGAAAGAAGGAAAAGCAAATGACAAGAGGATTTACCAAAAGAAAAAGGATGAAGAAGCCAAGGAAGAAAAAGAAAGGGGGGAAGGAAGGAGTGGGGTAGGGCACACGAAAGACTGGAACAAGCATGTTAAGAGCACTGGAGTGGGGGCTGGGGAGACGGCTCAGCAGGTAAGGGTGCTTGCTCCCAAACCCTATGACCTGAGCTCTAGCTCTAGGACCCGTGTGGAGAAGGAGAGAAATGACTCCTGTGCCTTGTCCTCTGACCTCCACATGTATGCTCTATTCCATACACATGTGTGTATATTCGTGTGTGTGCATGCACATCAAATAAATAAATACACTGTTAAAAATTGAAAAATAATACTGGCTTTGGATCTAAAGATTCTAAACCGTTGAACCAAAGAACAAAATAAATACCAACTGCCCCCAAAGAGATTAAGGTTCAAACCAGAAGAGACTTGATGGAGTCACCTTGAAGAAGCAGCAAGATTTGGCCATTTCCTCCATCTGTTGATATGGGAGCTCGTGTGCACAGTGAGGTCGGTTGTAGAGATACAGAGAAAGTCAAGTTCCTGATCAGCTGAGTTGTCATGTAAGACTCCAAATCTCAGAAGCTGCCAGCATCTACAAAATTTCCAAGCAGTGAAAAAAGTAAAGAAGGTTTAGGAATTGAGGGAACCAGACTAGAGTGTTTAAGGTAGGGAAGCAATTAGCTACACTTGGGGACACAAAGCAGAGGTTCCTGGATGGATGTGACGGCATTGTTCTCCTTGCTGACACTGTCAAGGTCTAAGCTGAACTGGAGAGAGCAGAAATGAGCTGCTAGGTGTCACAGTAACTGCTAAGACAAGTCAAAATCAAAGTAGCAGCTGGCCCTTTCACCACTGGAGTAGCAATAGACTAAGCTGAAGCCAATGCCAGCTCCCTCCTGTTCCATAGTCTTCCTGGGAGCAGCTCTGGAGCAAGAATCATTGGACAGCAGGGATATGAAGACTAGCCTCACTGACAAGGAAGCCCTCCACAAAAGGCTCACCAAGTTTGGTGGACCCAAGAATTAAAAAAAAAAAAAAGAAAAAAAAAAAGGAAAAGCCTAGGAATAGCATTTAAAAGTGAAAAATAAAAAGGCATCTTCAAAACCTTTCTCTCATAGAAGGAGGACTAAGTGGGAATACCTGGTGGAAACCTTGGCTGAAGGTTCCCAATACAAAGGTTTGGAATGGACAAGAGCCCCGAACCTAGATACAGGTAAGAGAGTGTCTGGCCGGAGAAGCTCCTGAGCTCTTGGCTGAAACTCTTTGGAGACTGCAATGCACTGGTTGTGTACCAAGCTTCAGCAGGGGAGCAGCTTCCCCACCCTCATGTGAGTTTTTGACAGAAGCCTAAGCCCTCAATTCCCACTTAGAAATTTCATTCCGTTTTTCTTCCAACCAATTTCCGCATGTACTATGACACTGTCAGTCTTTTTGAGCTGTTAGACCAAAATCTCTTCGCGGGTGATTTCCAAACCACAGCTATGGCTCACAGTTCTGGTGGCTGGGAAGTTCAAGATTAAGGTGTTGGCAGACTTGACCCTTGGTCAGGACTCACTCTTTGCTTCATAGACTGCTTCCTTGCTATGCCTTTATGTAGTGGGAAAGTGGGCAGGGGGATTCACTTGAGTGTGTTTGTAATGCTAGTAATCTTATCCATGAGGATTGCATCCTCAGTACCTGATCACTCCTGCAAACCTCCATTTCTTTCTTTCTTTCTTTCTTTCTTTCTTTCTTTCTTTCTTTCTTTCTTTCTTTCTTTCTTTCTTTCTTTCTTTCTTTCTTTCTTTTTTTGACAGGGTTTTCTGTGTAACTGCTCTGGCTGTCCTGGAACTCTCTCTGTAGACCAGGCTGGCCTTGAACTCACAGAGATCCTCCTGTCTCTGCCTCCTGATTAAAGGCATGCACCACTACCACCACTGGGCTCCATTTCTTGATCCTAGATTCTAACATACATATTTTGGGAGAATATAGACTATAGCAACTATGCTAGTCAAATGCTTTCTTTTCAGAATAAATAAAACACCAATGTATTTAAGAATGCAAACACATGAGAAAACAAAACTAAGCACATTAGTGATTAGGATAAGATTCAAAGCTACACAGAGAAACCTTGTCTTGAAAAACCAAAAAAAAAAAAAAAAAAAGATTCAGGATGCTGGTAACGGTTGAAGGGAAGGAAAATTTGATCAAGAGGAATCAGGAGTGGAGTGTCAAGGTGGCTGTTAAGTTGTATTTCTTTGGGGGGGTTACTTCCAGGTTTTATTTGTGATAGTTCATTAAACTATGCAACTATGCAAGTACTATTTTACAAACATATGTATATATATATATATATATATATATATATATATATATATATATACACACATACATGACAGTGATATATGTGTGTATAAACGTTCCTGAGGATTTAAAAGTTGAAGTGCAGATCAAGCAGGCCACAGACTTGTCCCTTGACCTTTCCTCTTCTTTCCCATACCCAGAAAAGAACCAAGCTAGCCTCTCAAGTAAACAGCTTTATCATTTCCTTAGAACTGCCTGAGAATGTCAATTCTGGGATGCAGCTCTGGAGTAAGAAGGGAGCCTGGAGGATAACTTGGCTGAGAGGCAGTGGCTGAGTCAGAGGATGGCCTCAGGAAGTTATTTGGCAAAGCCTGGTGGTTGAGCCGGAGTAAACAGGAGAAAAGTGCATCCTCCCGGATGGCACACTGAACAGGGAAAGGGAAGCTCAAATGTTGTGTGTCTAGTACTTGAGTAGTTCTAAACCTTTACAGACATAATGAGATCCTGTAAGAATCTAGTCTTAGCTGGGTGGTGGTGGCACATGCCTTTAATCCCAGCACCTGGGAGGTAGAGGCAGACAGATTTCTGTGAGTTTGAGGCCAGCCTAGTCTACAGAGCGAGTCTGAGTTCGAGGATGGCCGGGGCTACACAGAGAAATCCTGTCTTGGAAAACAAAGGACCAAAAAATAAAATAAAAGAATCTAGTCTTGCCTACCTCTCCGACGTCTTGCCCTCTAACTCCCCCTGTCCATTATTACTACTCCACCTATTTTGTTCTCTGAGTCCTCCAGCGCCATACAATTCTAAATTGCCTCTTTTCTAAGCTGGGAACTAAAAAATAAGGATCATTGCAGACACTGGGGTGAAAGAACTTGTTGACTTGGTAGGGTAAAAAGAAAAAGCCAGAGGAAAAGATTTGGAAGATACTGATGCTCTCAAGAAGGTCAAAATTATCACAGAGAATAGGGAAGGTCAAAAGTCATTCTCCCTGAGCCTCCAACCATCTCTGGGCTATGCCTTTGCTCCTAGCTATTGTTCTGGAATACATATGAAACTAAGGGGAAGGTAATTCCGGCCATAGGTCCCCTATTGTTAAGATGCCAGCGCATATGCACATGCCTAAGTACACAAAATCCAGGGGTAAGATGTGCATGCATAAGATGCACAGCTCCATTATTTCATGGCTGGGGCACTGATCAGCATCAGCCAGAACACAGGGTTTTCCACACATCAGCCTCTTCCTTCCCTTTCATCCAAGCTGACCCTCACTTGGAGCAGAAAAAAGGAAGACTAGAGCATTTATTGACAGGAAGGGGCAAGACGAACGGTCCCCACTTTGTTTCATTTATTTTTTTTCCTGTTCTCTCTGTTCCAGGAAGGAGCCTTTGAGAGTGATGGTCACACCCTTTATGTTTTTCGTTGGTTTTCCAGGCACTGGGAAGAAGACACTAGTCAGTCCCCACAGAAAGGGAAACTCAGTAGAGGAGGCCTGAGAGCCTCTGGCAAAACTAAATGAAAGCCAAAAGAAAAGAGGCATTCTGAAGTAGGTGCATATGGATGTGGTTGATCTTGTTTTATTCAAGAAAATTTTTTATTAATTTTACATACCAATCACAGATCCCCCTCTCATCCCTCCTCCCGCTCCCCCCAGCCTTCCTCCTCCACACCCCCATCCCCTCCTCCGAAAGGGTAAGGCCTCCCATGGGGAGTCAGCGAAGTCTTACAGCTGAAGTAGAAGTTGAAAATAAGCGAGGATGAAGTTGCTCTCTTTCTCACTCCAACTCTATCCAACTTTCCTCTCCAGCTTGGCCTTGGCAAATGACACCGTAGGTTGCTTGGAGTCGACGATAGGAATCCCACTATCAGATTCCCTAAAATCTATAGTTTTCCACTCCTTCCTACTCCAAAATATGGTTTGGATGGTCTGGTGGTCACAGTTCTCAATGTAACATACTCAGGGTTCCACTGAACTGGAATCTGACATTGACACATTGTTTCCCGTTCAGTGTCAGCTGTTTGAGGAGTAAAACCTATGTATGTGAAGGGCTGTCTGCATTGTCAAGGAAGAACTTGAGTTTTCTGCTTCACATGTATAAAATAAAAAGAAGACTTTTCTGGAAATAATGAGATTCAGTGGAATGCTTTCTAACACTCCTGTATCCATTTTGAATGCTTAATGGGAAACAGATGGAACTCCACTATTATATCAGTTCCAAACACTGATGTCGTTTAGGGATGAGAGAGTCATCTCACCAGATGATGAGCTACTATTTGGGATTTTGCCAGAATTAATTATGCAGGAAGGCGGGTTTCCCTGTTACATTTCATGATATCGTATATGAAGACTTGTCATTAACCTTAAAGTTAGAATTTCAATTTCTGTTCCAGGTAGAATTGTGGTAAAACTAACCTCATCCCACGATAGCTGATAGGATTTCACGTGTTACTTCGTGTTAGGCAAAGGGTTCCTTTAACCTAGTCAAAGAAACTGGGGCTGGGTGTGGGGAAACTGGCAGAGCGTACTGGTTACTCTATTTGTACAATGCAATACGTCCAACTCTCTTCTCCTCCTTGTGCCCCCTGCTCTGGTTCTGAGGAAGCTGACCCAAAAGCTATATTCTGCCTTTCATCCTCCATGAAGAAGGCCTTCAGTTCTCCAGCTCCTCCACACATCTCTGGTGGGGGGAGTGGTTAGAGTTCCTACCTTTGTGTTCCATCACCCTCATGGGAGGACAGAAGTGAGGTGTGAAACTCTTGCCACTAACTAGACTGAGGACTCGGCCGAGTCAGAGACTAGGTAGTTCCACTTGAACTCCCTGATGCCCTGGTGTGGTTTCTTTGGCATATCCAGGTTCTGCTCCGTAAACTGTAGTTACCGTCAGCACCCTCTTCTGTTCCGATCCTCCCTTGGATCACTGGGAGATTACAGGGAATGTTATCCGTGGCCCTCCCTGTAAAATTCTCTCTGGCCTTGGATGGCCCTGGGATGAGGCTGGTTCTCTGGTGTCCACTCCTCTGATTTGTTGTCCTCCTCATCCCTCTCCTGTTGTTTCCTTAGCCTCAGCTCTTTCTCTTCTCCTCACAGTCATGGTTTTAATGGACTTGACTGAGCGACCGACTACACATCCTGTCTTCTCTGTTTCACAGCACCCCCTGCACCTCTGGACACAGATTGGGTCTCTATTTTGATGCAGTGGGATCAAAGCATAGATATCAAGGGAGACAGGGAGAAGAGTATATTCTACATAAGGATCTGGAACAGAGGATGATAAAGGGACACAGTGACGTCCTCTGAGATCCAGAGGCAAGGACAGACACAGCAGGGTGGAAAGAAAGGCTCTGTTAGCTAGGCAATGGTGGTGCACACCACTTGGGAGGCAGAGTCAGGTAGATCTTGTAAGTCTGAGGCAAGCCTGGTCTACAGAGCAAGTTCCAGGACACAGAGAAACCTTGTCTCCAAAAACCAAAAACCAACCAACCAAACAACCAAAAACCAAAAACCAAAAAAAAACCCTCTGCAGTTGGTGAAGACGCAAAAAACTATTTGCCATGAAGGCTGCATGGAGTCTCATTTTTTTTTTTGTTATCTCACATTAAGCAACAAGAACAATGCAAGGAATTTAGACTGTTTTGTCGGTGGGGCCACACGTCTTTGCATTTCACTTTGAAGAAGCATTTGGAACCTATAAACGTATCACCAGTTCCTTTTCCATCTCTCTTACCATTTAAGCTACCCACATTGCCCATGCGCAGCCCCTTAGCTCTGTTTCTTCCCGCTAACCCTCATTTTGCAACACTCATTCTTGCACAATGCCTGTTGCAGATTTGAAAGAGTTCCTGCTGGTTTTCAGCCCATTCCTTTGAGGGATAAATCTGCTATTGTTTTTTACTTTTTTGTCTTTGTGTGTATGAGTATGAGAGTTTTCCTAAATTTGTGTAACTGCACCATGTGCGTGCCTGGTGCCTGGGGAGGCCAGAAGAAAGCATTGGATCCCCTGGAATTGAAGTTACAGGCTGTTCTGAACCACCATGGGGTGGGTGGGAACTGAATCCAGGTCCTCTGCAAGGGTGGCAAGTGCTCTTAACAGATGAGCCATCTCTCCAGCCTTTAGATTGAAGTTGATGTTTGTGCTTGGTTTCTAGGTCTTCAAGACAGGGTTTCTCTGCGTAACAGCTCTGGCTGTCCTGGAACTCGCTCTGTAGATCAGGTTGGCTTCGAACTCAAAGAGATCCTCTTGCCTCTGCCTCCCAAGTGTTGGGATTAAAAGCATGCACCACCACCACCTGGCTTGTTTTATTTTTTAACAAGAGCTATTCTTCAAGTTTTTTCTGACTATAAGGTAACATCATGTTGATCAGATGAATTATACTCAATCTACCTTGGCCTTGACAAGTTTGTTTACATTCCACTGCCCCAACAAAAACTGACACCTGGGGATTTCACTTCTTGGAAAAAAGGCTTTAACAAGGTTCTCAAGGTATAGCATTTCCAATACAAAAGGCATTGTGCTCTATTTTGTATGAAATAGAACTGACCAAGACAGTGCTGTAGTTTCTAAGTCATGTCCTCACGAGCACCATAATAAGGTATTCAGAACCTCCCATTGACTCTGCTTCGCTCTCAAGAATTCCTTTTCAGTAGAGAAGACAGACAGGCTTTATAGAGGAACGGAATGGATGTCAGTCCAAAGATGACTTAGGGAAAAGAGTCTTTGCTACTGAATGGCCAAGTGCTGCAGATATGCATAAACACGTATTTTTCAGACAACAGCAAAAGAGACATGACATGCAGCACAGTCTCTCACTACCTCAAGTCTGAGAGCTTCCACGTGGACTGTCAGGATGGATGGACTTCTCTGTCCAGCGTAAATGGGGAAAGTCAGATTAAAACATACAGAATCAGCAGCGCCAAATGGACTCAGTGGGTATCAAACTGCACAAAGCAGCTGAAGCTGGGAGGAGAGAAAAGTGCGGAGGGGGCTAGGGGAGAACTTGGAGGACAGGAACTGGGGGAATGCATTCGTTTCAAACACATTCTAGACAGAGATGAGTCCTAAACAAAATATTTAGTAAAATATTTTAGTAACTGTTGAGTAAAAAGAGACACACAAACCAAAAGAAGTGAAAATACAGCTTGTATTCAACACCAAAAATAAGGATAAGTTTTATTTCCCATTCTTTTTGGAGGGCTTCCCATGATTTGGGGTAGGCATAAGCATGTATGTAATGTGGTGTTTGGGCAAAGGCCACTTCCACTCTGGCATGGCTCGTGTCAGCATCCACAGCCACTTGCACAGATCTGAATCCCTCTTTTGCCTCCCCAGTTGTCTGCCCAGTAAAAAGCTCAGCACGTTTGTGGTGCCTTGGCTAGGCTTTAAGTATTCATCTGTCTTCCTCCTGGTGCTCACCCTTGGTGGGCTGGGAAGGGTCTCAGGTTGTCCTTTATCCATGACAGTCTCAAGGAGACAGCACAACTGAGAAATGCCTCTAAAAGACAATGAAATCCAAATAACCCAGTGGCCCCAGAGAGTCTCGTTTTCACATCACCTCCTTACTCCCCCATATTATTGTCAATACAGGAGTCCTAACTCATCTATAGCTTCAATCTCCACAGCTTCAGTTACCAGGGGTCAATCATGATCTGAAAATAGTAAGTGAGAAATTCCAGAAATGAAACAGTTTCTAAGTTTTAAATCACGTTCCTTTGGGAAGTGGCGTGGTGGAATCTCATGCCATTTCCCACCGTCCTGCCTGGGAAGTGCATGAATCATCTCTGTGTTCAACATATCCAGCTGTGTATGTTATCTTCCGTAGCATCTGTAACTTGTGTCCAAGTTACCCTATTTTTTGTTAGTAATGCCCCCAAAACATAAAAGCAATAATACAAAAGATGCGCCAGGGCATAAACATGGAAAGACAGATTTACTCTGGTACTATATAGCAATGTTGCAGGACATGCAGGAAAAGGCATAGTATAGTGGCTATATCGGATACCCACTGGGGATTTGGAACACATTCTTTCACAGAATGGAGGTTTTATAGGAAAAATGATAATCTATTTTAAGTGTGAAACAAATATATGCCATTGAAAAATCATATTCATGGCCAGGTAGTGGTGGTGCATGCCTTTGATCCCAGCACTCAGGAGGCGGAGAAACAAAGACAAAATAAAAAAGTTATTGATCTGACTTGGTCAGTACACCCTCTATATACATGCACGGAAATACCAAACTATAAATTTGTACAATTATCATTACATTTTAGCCAAAATAAGTTAAATCCACATAAATACAGAAAACAGGGTCTGAAATAATTTACAGTATTCCCATGCTGCCAGTTCTTTAGCTATTAGAATGAAAAATACAGGGGGCAGGAAAGGAGATAAGAGGCAGTATCTGTTGTCGGTCTATATATGTTATTTTCATGTGTGTTTCTAATACAAGCCTGAAAAATTGTGTCCAGATTGATTTTGCCAATGGTGTTGAAATACTATCAAGGTTCTTTGAAGGCAGATTTGAGACACAATAAGACAGGACTGAGGCAGGCTGGTCCACAGATGTGTCTCAGCTCTTTTTTCCCCCCAAAACAGGGTTTCTCTGTATAACAACCCTGGCTGTCCTGGAACTCACTCTGTAGACCAGGCTGGCCTCGAACTCACAGAGATCTGCCTGCCTCTGCCTCCTGAGTGCTGGGACTAAAGATATGTGCCACCACTAGCCCAGCTCTAGGCTTTCTTTAAGAGTAGTTCTCAACCTTTCTAAAGCTGTGACCCTTTAACACAGTTCCTCGTGTTATGGTGACTCCCCCAACCGTAACATTATTTTCACTGTTACTTCATAGCTGTAATTTTGCTACTGTTATGAATCCTAATGTAAATACGTGATATGCACAGTCTCTGATATGTGGGGTCACAACCCACAGATCGAGAACCACTGTTTTTTTTTTTTTTTTTGGTTTTTCGAGACAGGGTTTCTCTGTGTAGCTTTGCGCCTTTCCTGGAACTCACTTGGTAGCCCAGGCTGGCCTCGAACTC